GGCCACTTGTAAACGATATAATAAAAAAATAAGTTCAAATTTTGAAAATGGAACTCTTTGTCAATATTATTGTGTATGTATTTTATTAGTTTGTCATTTGTTTACAATTTAGTTAGTCTGTGCTACGTCAGCATGAATTTAACGCGAGAAAATTTTCGTACAATGATTTTTATGACTTTCGATGTCATTTAAGTCAACAAGAAAGTTATGATGGACAACGCAAAGCTTCGAGGAAAACGTTTTATGGACGCCGAGTAAGCAGTGACTGCGTTTCAAAATGCCGTCGAAGAGACCCCTAAGGACGAGTAGGCGAAGTGCTTTTCTCAGTGGTTCCATCGGATGCAGCGATGTAATGATGTACATGGACACTATTTTGAAAAGATATAATAAAACTAATAACTTGCTAGTTTGTTCAGTTTTTTCTAAGAACTTTCAGTGTCACCCATTATATGTCGCAGCCAACTACCTCAACTAGTCGTTATACTAAACGACGTGGTTCAACTAGTGGCCTGAATGGTATTCTTGGCTGAATGCTTCGTTGTGGTCGTAAACGCGGTTTCTGATCATGAGGTCCACCGGATTCAAAACCCAGGTCGGCCAAAATCAGTTATTGGGTTTTTCTGACAAGATATTCTCAATAGCCGCCTGAAGTCAGGAAGCTGGCGATATTTCACCCCCTTGCCACGGAAAGCACGTAAAGCCTAAGTCCTGCGCCTGATTTTTCTCAGTTCGTTTTGGTTTGTGGTTCCATCGGATTATGAGAGTGAGAGAACAGAGAGTGCACCTGTGCTTGCGAATACACTCGGACACTATAATACTGTCCTGCGCAGATGTCTAGTCTCCGTTCAGACAGGCTGCCGTGACCGTAATTAGATCTGGAGAACACTATTATTATCATTTTTCAGCCTATGCTTTTCATAGAACATTGCACTTATCTTCTAATATCAAGGACAGTAGATTAAGGTGCGCCTGGGTTGGCCCTTGGGCCGCCCTAAAGCCGCGTACATTTACGCAGATCAGCGACTGTACCATTGAGTGAAATAAATACCACCCATGTAATGTAATTTTTTTTTTTATAGAATTAGGGTGACAAACGAGCACATAGTCCACCTGATGGTAAGTAGTTGCTGTGGCCCATAGACATCTACATCTATCCTCGATTACGAATCAAAATGCAGATGCGTTGTCACCTGTGAGGACTAAGGCTGCGTTCCGACGACACGCACCCGCTACGCGCACGCCACGCGCGTCAGCACCCGCGTCTAACTCGCTTTGAAATTTGTTGCATGTAATTTGAGTCTTATGATAAATCAATAAATCTGAAATTGTATATAATGCGCGGGCATAAGGCGTAGCGGGGCGGGTGCAGCGCGTGTGACGCGCAGCAGGAACGAGGCGGGGCGCGTGGCGTGTGCGAGGCGTGTGTGGTTGAACGTCGATAAATGCAATTTCAGATTTATTGATTTGCCATAAGACTCAAATTATATGCAACAAATTTCAAAGCGTGTTAGACGCGGGTGCCGACGCGCGTGGGGTGCGCGTAGCGGGTGCGTGTCGTCGGAACGCGGCATAAGATGAATGCCTCGTTTCCAGTAAAAAGTTACTAGTTATTCCTAAAAAAAAATACAATATAATATATTATTGATATAAGTTATTTAAATTATTAAAACATAGATTAAATTTAAATCTAACTAAAAGGTTACACACAGGTTTAAAAAAAACATAATAAAAAAAAACTAAAACTAAAAATTTTTATTGTCATACAGGCCTACTCCCCGTGGTATTGTGCCAAGAACGCTGGCTGCGTTTCCTGAATGAATGGCTATACTTAGCCTTTGAGCGAGAAAAGAACCAGCTCTCTTATCACCAGCAGCGACGACCAGTCGCGGATACAGTTTTAACACGCGACTGGTCGCCAGACCCTATTTACTGAAAACGAGGTATTCCATCGTAGTCCTCAGGGGTGACAACGAATCTGCGTTTTGATTCTTTATCGAAGATAAATGTAGACGTCTATGGCCATAGTTTCCACTTACTATTAGGTAGACCGTGTGCTGGTTTGTCACACCCAAAAACTGGAAAAAAAGGGACTTCACCGCACGTGGACCCCACGGTCTGATAGTCTCTAGCTCTACTATAATTCATTTAGGTTAATTATATAAATTATATATAAATAAAAATTTATATATAATTTATATAATATTTATATAATATATATATATATATATATATATATATATATATATATATATATATATATATATATATATTACTAGATGGATATATTTTATCTTACTATTGCAAAATTGACTCGTGTTACAATTATGTGTAAACAATAAAATCAAGTAAAAAGGCTATACCACTTCTTCACCTTCACTTATTTCATTTCTTAGTCCCTTAAAGGTAAGGCTACCGCCGTTCGTGAATATCCGTAATAAAAAAATCTGCCGTCAATTAGCTATTGCAGCCTATTAGATTACTGCAAGCCATTTTAGAATAAGAGTGACTAACAAGCACACATTCCACCTGATGTGGATACTGCGGCCCATAAACATCTGCATCAATTCGCGATTAAGAGAATCAAAATGCAGATGCGTTGTCACCCCAAAGTATTAACATGGAATGTCTCGTTTCCAGTAAAAAGGTTCTTCGGTTCTCTACACTCACCGTACGAAACACAGCAGCATCAAGCTGCTGTTTTCCGCTGGCATTTCATGAGAGCGTGGTCATTCTCCGGTCGTGCCGACCCATTCGTGTTACAACTACAATATAGCTGCAGCATGGCTCTACCTCGCCTGTAACCAATATCAAATAAAGAAAACTACAGATGCGACTGTAGAGAACCGGAGACCCATTTTACTGGAAAAGAGGCATTCCATCTTAGACTTCACGGGTGACGACGCATCGGCATTTTGATTCTTTATTGAGGATAAATGTAGGGTCACAGCAACTACTTACCATCAGGTGGACTGTGTGCTCGTTTGTCACCCTATCCTATAAAAAAGCATATTAATTCTGAGTTTTGTATACTAAGTGTAGAAAACCGCATAAACCTTAAGCACGCAGATACACTGCAGCATTAAGCTGCTATTTTTCGCTGGTATTCTGTGGGAGCATGGTCCTACCCTAGTTGAGCTGACCTATTCGTGCTGCAATCATAATATAGCTTCAGCGTGGCTCTGCCGCATGAAATAAATATTTTGATGAAATGGCGTTCAAATTGTAATTGTACTATCTCTGTTTTGACCGAAGCAGCATTAGGCATATCGCTGCTTGGTGGCGAAATACGCAAGAGATTGGCTCTGACGATTTTTAGGCAAATATGTACCCCCTAGTAAAAAAATCCAAAAGAAAAATTATTCTGTGGTAAGGATAATAGTTAACAATATAATACTTGTAATAGAATTATATTCATCATTACAGCCCTTTACAAGTCCACTGCTGAACATAGGCCTCCTCCAAGAAATGCCACAAAGCACGAACCTGAGCCACATTCATAAATCAACTTCTCGCATCAGGTAGTAATTCCATTAAGTTGGAGGCCGTCCTACTTGTAATAGAGTACATCATTCAGGATCATCATTACAGCCCTTCACAAGTCTACTGCTGAACATTGGCCCAGCTCTTAGGAATGCCATAAGACACGGTCCTGAGCCACCTGCATCCATCGATTTCCTGCATGTCTTACCAGGTCGTCACTCCATCTAATATATATCTATGTAATAGAGTACATAAAAATATAATGTAAGTAATAATTTTCTAAGATACAAAGAACACGATAGCATACTTATGCTCTGCTGCTTCATGAAATGGTCAAGAGTCGTGGATATGTAACAACTCTAATACCCCATTTACACTCTCGCGCGAGCGACGAGGCGAGTCGCGAGGCGTGTCACGAGGCGCGAGTGTAAACGCTAGCTCGTGGCTCGCCTCGCAGCTCGCCTCGCCACTCGCGGCGCTCGCGTCGGAGGCGGTTTTTTGGGCACGAGGCAAAGGGCCTCGCGAGGGACGCGAGCGTGGTGTTTACACTCGCGTCTCGTTTCAGTTTGTTTACGGCGCCCTTCCATAATAACATTCGAATTGCTTTTGGTTTAAAATACAATTTTAATAAAATAATATTATTTAATCTTGCTATATATAAAATAATAAACATATAAAAATATTAAAAAGTATAAAAATATTATTTAATCTTAATAGGTACTCGTTATTTATATAAAATTATGAAACTGAAAAGGTTCTGTTTCGATGAATAGATACCATCCGTCATATTCTTTCTCAACGACGTATTTTTATTAATTTCCATCTTTTTAAAATGGTCAAACATCGATAAATACTTATTAAGGCAAGAGTTGATGCCGCTATTATTTCGACGTCATTCATCGTTGCTGGCTCAACGCAAAATGACCGCATCTCGAGAGTGTAAACAGGCACTCGTTACCTCACAACAACACGCGAGCTGCGAGGCGAGGTACGAGGCGAGCCGCGAGGCGAGAGTCTAAACGAGGTATAACACCTTTACTAGTTTGCGCTATAGGTAAAATTGTTACATCATAGAAGTGAATACCTGAAGTGGAGCTCATATCCACAACCTCGGGCAAGTAGGCAGAATAGATCCAACTTACAATTTTTTACAATTATTAAATATGATTTGTAACATGACGTAAAAAACTGAAACATGTTAAGTCTGATTTGACTAACAAAAAATAAACATGACAAATAATATTGTGTAAGTTTTTATTGAACATAAATTGCAATTTAATTATCAAATGTTTCATTTGAATCTAACTTTAAAAAATACTTGTAGATGTTTTATATCAATAAAGAAAAAAACAGTCTATTTTATAATAGTAAGCGGTAACTACAAACTATTGACAGCTTTTGAAATAGGTACAAAGACATTGTCACTATATTTTTTTTATTTGTTTCATAAACCACAAATATTCGAGTAAAGCAAAATTAACCTAGTTATCTAAATCTAGGCAATTATTTAGAAAATACTTCTAGTAAATCGTTTGTCCTGGCCTCAGCTTAATAATCTCCGGATGGTTAGGATCCCCATTACCTCTGACTACGTAAACTGTGCGAATCGATTGGTCTTTGTTGTAATCATCGTCATTACTATTATATCCTTTATAATTGTCAAAGTTCAGATTATTGTTATTGTTGTAGTTGTTTTTATGATCAAAAAATGGAATTGTGGTTTGATATTTGTTATAGTCTATGTACTGATTGCTTACAGCATTGGGGAACACGAATCCTCTTGGATTTCTTACAGAATCTTCGACTCTTATGTTATCGGTAAGAGAACTTTCTGGAAATTTAAAATTTTTTCCGACTTTTACATCACTAACCCTAATATTGTTATTGCTTGCTTCTGGAAAAGACCATTTTGTATTATAACCATTGACGTTTACAAAATTTACATCATCTTCAAAATCTTCTAAGAACTTCTCTGGTTTGTTTTGAATTCGCTTTTCAATTTTGTTACTGTCATTAGTAAGCTCGTTTGTGTTTTTGAACTTAATGTTATTTAAAATACCATATTTGTTTTGTCTATTTGGATTAGTAATTCCATATTTACCATAATTGTAGACGTAATTGGCGTTTTGTAAATTATAATCCTGAATAAGATTTTGTTGATAATTTTGATTAATATCATTGGAAAGCCCGTTATTTTGAGGATAAGGATAAAGCTGTTGATTGCTTTGGTAGTTTTGTGAAAGGTGATTATACAGTTGTTTTATATTTTGCGGTTCTCGTTGGGGAGAGTTAAAAAATCTGAAGAAACCTCCGTTATGATTATTAAGGTAGTAAACTAATTGTTCGGGATCTGTTGGACACTGTGGATATGCATAACGGCAGGAAGCAGGATTGTTCTTCGACGACATTCCAAGCAAAGCTGCTCGGCCAAAGACAAAAAGTGGATTGGAGCTAATGCCGCTATATGCCGAGAGTAATCTGAAAAATAATACATTAAAAAAATTAAAATACATAAAATTACACAGCTTTTATACGTCCCACAGGTGAACACAGGCCTACTCCCATTTCTGAGAGCGTTATAGAGAAATTAATTCACCGCGTTGCTTCAAAGGGAAGGTGTCCTCGAAATAATTTATTCTTCCGACTTGAAGGTTTGACACGATTTTTTCTTTCATAGCCAAGCACGTGGTTAATACACAACATTGCAACCAACTAGTTCATTGGTGCTGGCGAGAATCGATGCAGCTGTACTCTGGCTGCTGTTGCAGAATGGCTCGGCATGACTGAGGTATTTACTGAGGTATTACCTCGCTCGAACAGAATACCAGCGTAAAATAGCAGTTTAATGCTTCTGTGTTTCGTATGGTTAGGTTTTCATATAGATAATGTATCCTTTTAACTGATGATAAGATATTCCCTTTTAGTCCTTAGGGGTTACAGTGCATTTTTTTACTAATTCCTCATCAAGGATTGAACTGCGGACTATTCATTTTTTTATAGGATAGGGTGACAAACGAGCACACAGTTCACTTGATGAAAAGTAGTTGCTGTGGCCCATAGACATCTACATTTATCCTCGTTTGCGAATCAAATAGCAGATGCGTTGTCACCGGTGATGACTAAGATGGAATGCCTCTTTTTCAGTAAAAAGGGTCTCCGGTTCTCTACACTCACCATACGAAACACAGCAGTGTTAAGCTGCTATTTTACGCTGGTATTCTGTGAGAGCATGGTCCTTCCCCGGTTGAGCCGACCCATTTATGCTACAACTATACTACTAATATAGCTGCAGCATGGCTCTTTTGGTTTTTGACATGAACGACCATCAAGTTGGACTGCGTGTTCGTTCGTCCCAGCTTTTTTAGCTAATAATACCAGTAGTAAAGAGCTCAGACTGGCAAGAAGAAGCAGTGTCAAAGGCTCCAGGCATCTAGTGCTGTGATCACCAATACACCTGCCAAGCGGAGCGATTACGGCAAATCCTGCCATCTACAAGTAAGACCCATAACCAGGCATACAGTTTTGATGATCTGAGAAAGGATGATGATTCTAAACAGTCCTCATTTACAAAACGTTGACGTATCTTTATAGTATTTTACGGAAGTCTATGGGTGAATTACACAAACAAAGTATATAGTATCCTTCGTGTACAATATAACAATGTCTTTTAGGCTGTTGTTGAGGCTGCCTTAATCTTGTAGTGCACCAGAGATGTTTCCTGGTGGGTACTGGCGATTTTTACGCCATCAGACACAAAAGAATGGAATCGCTAATGAACAGAGTTCGAGCTGCTCAGAACAGCATTCTGTGGACGATTGCTGATCAGATTCCATCCTAAAATTTTCGATAGCGCTATTTATAAAATAAGCCAGCCAATTTGAGTACCTACCAGAGCACATTAACGCGAGGCCCATTCTCATAAACTTTTTTCTACCAATTTATGCCGAACAAACGCGGGACGAAGGACCTCTTTATTACGTATGATGCATTTGTACAATGAGAATTTTCATGATATCGATATCAATGTCACAGGACGAGATAATTATAAGAAGATTGTCACTGAAACACTTAAGCAAGTAGTCATTGAGTAGATAGTGGAATATATGACACGACTATTTAAAAAAAACTAATGAGCAGTGGTGTTGTATATCCTACCATAACCCTACAATTTTTGTTAGTCGATACTGTGTAAAGTTTAATTCTTAATTAATAATAACAAGATATTGTCAATGTCAAGGTATACTGTGTAACAAGCTTCATCTATCTTTAAAAACTGTAATACTTAAGTTCGTGACCAGCGTTGCTGAGTTCATAATAATAAAAATGTGCAGTAATTACATTAGATAAGTTGATAATTGTGAACTTGTTTGTGGTCCGAAGATTAATAAATTGAAAAAAAAAATCCAGTTTGAATGGGCAAATGTACTTGTAATAGTATATAATTTGATTTAATTCATTTCACTGTTTAATTTTGAACTCAATTTATTTTATTAACATAGTTTTAAGTAATGTGATGATATAATATGGAATATTTTCTGAATAATATCACTAACAATATAATGAAATATAATAATATTGTTTCAAGTAATATTACTCCACATAACACTCCTTGGTAGCTTCTGACCACATTAAACGCAGTTATTACGTAACATAACTATATTTTTAAAAACGTGATATAGATACGTGGTAGAGCCATGTTGCAGCTATATTAGTAGTATAGTTGTAGCACGAATGGGTCGGCTCGACCGGGGAAGAACCCCGCTCTCACAGAGTACCAGCGTCAAATAGCAGCTTAACACTGCTGTGTTTCGTATGGTAAGTGTAGAGAACCGGAGACCCTTTTTACTGTAAAAGAGGCATTCCATCTTAGTCCTCACGGGTGACAACGCATCTGCATTTTAAATTCGCAAATGAGGATAAATGTAGATGTCTATGGGCCATAGCAACCACTTACCATCAGGTGGACTGTGTGCACGTTTGTAACCCTATCCTATAAAAAAAATATTTTTGTAATATACCCCTTTTTTCATTTTAGTCGTAACTAGTAGTAGTGCTGCCCATCTCCTGATTTGTTTCCCTCTATTGCCTCTTACGACAGCCACGGGATAATATGTGGTAGTGGATATTTTTATCCAGTCACTACTCGGTACACTTACGTAATAAATGTAATCTACAAACCATCAATAAGTTGACAATACCGACATGAACGGTATCCTTTTCGCGTGACAGTAAATACAATACCGTTAGCTGTAACTTTTAATTGGGTTAGATATAATTTTTACTAACGGACCGTTATGGTTGGTCATTTAAAGTCCCCTCACGTCTAAGTTCAGCGTCCGTCGACTTGATGCGTGATAAATGACCGGCGTAGGGCTCCGTTCTGCCACCATTAATAATGTGAAATGGGTTTAAACTAGGCCAGACGATTCCCGCGGATCGGACTTTGTTATAATAAATAATAATGTATACCAGATCGAATTCCGGTTACGAAGGCCAGTCTCAAAGGGTACTAGTATCTAATTATAGATATTAGACAGGATTATAGTGCCTGAGTGTGCAAGCACAGGTGAATGAGATCAGACGCAGGACCAACGGCTTTATGTGCTTTCCGCTGTGCGGTTGTAAAACACCGCCATCTTTCTGACTCCGGGATGCTATTGAGAATTTCTTGCAAGTAAAACTCAACAACTAATTTTGTCCCGACCCGGTGTTCGAACCCGGAACCTCATGATCAGCAAATGCGTTTACGAACACCAGACTAACGAGGTAGATATAACATCGTGAAATAGAACTGACAGAAGTCTGCAGTGTTTTAACAGGATCATCCCCGCTATTACATCGGATTCAATAAATAACACTAAAGAACACCGATTCCTACGATTCAATTCGCGAGACTATAATTTAAAAAAAAATCATTCAAAATTTTATGGAGGACAGGGCCGGTGGTCAAATCAGCACTTAAAATTGCAATTAACTATTTCATTGGTGCCAATGGGCATCAAGCCCGGGTAGCTAGCGTACTGAGTAAATTTACAGCGAGCGTTATGCCCCTAAGCTACCACGGCTGTAATAAACAAGCAAATTATTAAGAATTATTGAAATCGGTAGGTTATGCCCAAACATGCATAAACATTATTTTTTTTTATAGGATAGGGTGACAAACGAGCACACAGTCCACCTGATGGTAAGTGGTTACTGTGACCCATAGACATCTACATCTATCCTCAATAAAGACTCAAGATGCAGATGCGTTGTCACCCGTGAGGACTAAGATGGAATGCCTCTTTTCTTGTAAAATGGATCTCCGGTTCTCTACACTCACCATACGAAACACAGCAGCGTTAAGCTACTATTTTACGCTGGTTTTCTGTGAGAGCGTGGTCTTTCCCCGGTCGAGCCGACCCATTCGTGCTACAACTATATTACTAATATAGCTGCAGCATGGCTCTACCATCATAATGATGATGATGATGATGATGATGATGGCTCTACCACGTAAATATATATACAATATACAGATGAATTGATTATCCTTATCTTTTTTTAAATTAAAAATTATGAAATAACCATAAATTTCATAGTGTCTGCGCCTACCGTTTTTATCGAGCAATGCTTCGGTCCGCTTTTTGATATAGTTTAATTCGATAAGGCATCTAAACACAGAATACTTATTACACATAATTTATTGTAAATTAATGTTTACTGGTCATTCCCAACACAGAAGTATTTTCTGAACCAGTGATATAACCATAGATGACTTTCCATAAGTAGTCTTGTAACATAATATTTTATCTTCAATATATAAAAATGAATCGCTGTCCGTTGGTCTCGCTAAAATACAAACACCGATTTTGATGAAATTTTTTAAGTGTTTTTGATTAAGTCCCTAGATAGTTTAGATTCACAGTAAGATCTAGTAGGTGGCGCTGTTGTCGAGATCCAGAAATCACCCGTGTGAAGCCGGGACGGATCTCTAGTATTAAATAAAAATTGGTCTACATTTTTTTTAATTCTTTACCTCGTCCTTTTACAAAAAAAAAGGATATAAATGGTGGACTTAATGCCTAAAGGCATTCTCTACCAGTCAACCCATGGAGTGGTGAGAGTCTGTCGAAGGTGTAGCAATTAAAAGAAAAGAAAAAAAAAGAGAAACTAAAATTATTACGCATTATACGTAACAAAACAGATTATTATATAATATTGTAAGTAAATGCATACTTTATTCTGTTCTAGTAGTACAACATCATTCATTTTTCTAACTGGCAACATCGCTCTCATTTATTGTTTATATTGCAAGCATTGTAAAACCTTTTTTTATAGGATAAGGGTGACAAACGAGCACACAGTCCACCTGATGATAAGTGGTTGCTGCGGCCCATAGACATCTACATCTATCTTCTATTAAAAATCAAAATGCAGATACGTTGTCACCCATAAAAAGGGTCTCCGGTTCTCTACACTCACCATACGAAACACAGCAGAGTTAAGCTGCTATTTTACGCTAGTATTCTGTGAGAGCGTGGTCCTTCCCCGGTCAAGCCGACTCATTCGTGTTACAACTATACTACTAATACAACTGCGGCATGGCTCTACCACGTATAAATACTTGCAAATATATAGGAGAGTAAACCAGACTTCATCTTCGCATTTATTTACTACTTTTAGGCCCCGGAGTTTGTCTGGGTGGTACCTATCCAGACTGGAAAGTCCGTCTGACCTATTTCGGTCTGTTCCTGTCTGAAGGGTATAGAGTTCCAATATAATTACAGGTTATGAGGCATCCCATCTTAGTCCCCAGAGGTCCCAAGGAAGAACACATCTGTAGCCTTCTTTGTTTGAAGTCTATGGCCTGCATCAGCCATTACCAACAGTATTGTAAGTTCCTGCGACGCTTTAGTCTTATAAAAAAATTGTGTGCAGTTCACACGCGGTAGAAGTGAAACCTTCAGAATCTAAACTTCTGAGAGAATGCCACGAATTTAGAGTATCAGGATAATTGTAGGGTTTATTATATAATACAAATATAAAATAAATCATTTATCTCATTCTATCACAGGCTAAATCCTATAGATGTATGTATATATTTGTCTCTTTTAAGTGTCGCATTTTTAGTGTTTAGCTTAGGAATTCAGCATAAAGTTAAATTTGAAATATTTATATACAAAGAAGTTATTGGAATATATAATCTAGTACTCCCCATAAAACAAATATCTTGATTATCATTTATTATACCTATATGAGTAATTACTCCTGCACATATAAATAATAAAGCGTTAAATATAGCATGAGTTAATAAATGAAAAAAAAAACTGGCAAAGTGCGGGTCGGACTCGCGCATGAAGGGTTCCGTACCATCGTAAAAGAAGTTTCTGGTACGGGGACCCTCTTTAATTTTTAATTTATTTTATTTTTTGTTGTTATAGCGGCAACAGAAATACACATTCTGTGAAAATTTCAACTGTCTACCTATTACGGATCATGAGATACAGCTCGTTGATAGACAGACCGACGGACCGACGGGTACGGAACACCAAAAAGCCACTTCTGGTAATCGTATTCTTAAAATTTTTAATATTAATCCTTTCCGACTTTCTTTTCATCGAGTTTCAAATCAACGATTCTAAAGCAGTTTTCACTTTAAAAAAAAACATGCAACTCAGTCAACTTACGTAAGAAGAGGCTGTAGCCCAGAAACTGACTGCAAGACTTGCGTAGAACCTAGGGCTCCACCGCTTGCTGCTTCACAGAGAAGGCGTGCTACGCATTGCTTGTCATCGTACAGTGCTATCGATGTTAGGGCTTCAGTGACAGACGATAGGGCTTCCGACGCTAAAGATGGCCTAGGGCGTGTTGGTAGTCCTAGAAATAAAAGAATGTTGATTAAGAAGTAAGACAAGGAAAAGTTACAGTCTATATACGTCCCACAGCTGGGAACAGTTCTCCTTTAATTTCTGGAAGGGTTTTAGAGCAAGGATATGAAAGGGCCGTACTGCTCCAATGTGTGTTGACGGACTTCACATGTTTTCGATTTTTTTTTTAATTTTTCAGAAATGCAGGTTTCGTATATCAGCACTTATAATTGCAATTAGAAATGACATTGGTGCTGGTGGGGATCGAACGCGGGTTGCTCGCTTACAGTGAAATTTACAGCGAGCGTTTTGCCCCTGAGCTACCACGGCATATTGCTTTACTCGTACATTTAATAAAAAATTATTTTACGGATTTTATCAGCGTTTCATTTAGCTCAAGTATTTTTAATTCCCACGGTTTCGGGTGATTTCCCGTACCGTGACACGGGGTGAAAAGGTGCTACAATGCATGGAGTATGTAATTTTTTTTTATATAAAAAGGCTGAAAACCGAGCACACAGTCCAGCTGATAGTAAATGGATGCTGTGGTCCATAGACACCTACATTTATCTATATCTATACAAATAAATAAAATTGAAGTGTCTGTTTGTAATGTCAAAATTACAGCTTTTTACTAAATTAATATGAAAGTATATACGGTACTAATGACAAAAATACAATTTTTAAAGTTTTTGTCTGTCTGTCTGTCTGTCTGTCCGTCCGTCTGTCTGCTTGTTTCGGCTAATCTCCTAAACGGCTGGACTGATTTTGACGGGATTTTCACTGCCAGATAGCTAAGGTTACAAGGGGTCACTTAGGCTACTTTTATTTTAGAAAAAGAATTAGGGTTCCGCGAAAAAAAATTAAAACCCCAAATAACATGCGGGCGAAGTCGCGGGGAACAGCTCGTAAATAAATAAAATTGAAGTGTCTGTTTTTAATGCCAAAATAACAGCTCTTTACTAAATTTATATAAAAGTATAATATACGGTACTTTTATTTTTTATAGGATAAGGGTGATAAACGAGCACACAGTCCACTTGATGGTAAGTGGATGCTGTGGCCCATAGACATCTACATTAATTTATCCTCGATTAAGAATGAAAATGCAGTTGCGTTATCACCCCTGTGGACTAAGATGGAATGCTTCGTTTCCAGTAAAAATGATCTCCGGTTCTCTACACTCACTAAAAAATTCAAGGTTCTAATTTGCGGCAGAAGTAGGTACATATCTAGACGGACTCCAAAGCAGAGCAGAGCAGGAGTTTCACTGCCTAACAAAATTTTACGCAAAGCCACTCTAGCTTGAAGAGAAAATATTTATTTTAGAACGGAAAAAGCCTTATAATTTTTTGTTTCCACTTACTATATATAGGTCTAGGATATCCAGGATTATAAAACGGACGAGTCCCATAAGCTATCTGAGGAAAATTCGGCGCATATGGACCAACGTACTCTGGACTTATTCCTTCTGGCCGCTGAAGTCTTGGTTTTCGCCTTCTCTTCCTCCGCTTCTTTTGACCTCCAGAAGCATCATTATCTTCAAATGACGCTCGGTGGCCTTGGTCAACACTATCCTGGTTGAATGCTTGGGAGTTATCAGAATTTCCGGGTGGAAATTTAACTGTACTAAATGGCGGTTCTTCGTTACGGTCAAAACTAACTAAGTCCGAATTACTTTCATCTTCGAATCTAATTCCATTTCTAGAACGCTCCTGTGTAGTGCTGTTTAAATTGAAGATATTCCTAAAAAAATAACAATAGATGAGTACGGAACTATAAATACCTACGATACGATTTATCTCATGCATTTTTTTACAGAATGAGAGTGACAAACGAACAAACAGTCCACCTGATGGTAAGTGGTTGCTGCGGCCCATAGACATCTACATTAATTTATCCTCGATTAAGAATGAAACTGCAGTTGCGTCGTCACCCGTGAGGACTAAGATGGAATGCCTCATTTCCAGTAAAAAGGGTCTCCGGTTCTCTACACTCACCATACGAAACACATTTTTGTACGTTGGTATTCTGTGAGAGCGTGGTCCTTCCCCGGTCGAGCCGGCCCATTCGTGCTACAACTATACTACTATTATAGCTGCAGCATGGCGCTACCACGTATAAACCGTACCACCACGTATATAGGGCGTTTAGCGCATCGCCATATAAACACTTCTCTTACCCCATGACTTCACCAGATACAGAGGATAGGGGGAAAACACATCCTTCCCGCCGCAATCTACCAACAGGCATCCAAAGTCCTTAATCCACTCGGGGCGGCAACCTCATACAAGCCCTTAACCACACATCAGCCTAAGTCCCCTGCCACGACAAGTCTGCCTCTGAATCACTGCTAGCGTATTCTATAATTACCTCAATAATTCTCCTGGGTCGTAAAGCACCGTAGGTACATTCTTGTTATTCGAAAGCTTTTCACATGTGTAACAAGAAAACAAACTAATGATAATGGCAAAACACGGAATCCCCATTTTATGCGACCTAAAAATTGAAAAAAAATTTGTTTTAAAACAAAATAGTACAATCATGATTTTGTGTTATAAGACTGAAGGGACAACGAACTTACAGCGCAGATGGTAAGTGGCTAGTGCAGCCAGTGGACACCAGCAACTAACTACCACGTAAAATATTATATGTAACTTACATTATTTGATAAAGCCGTGAAAGCTATGGGTCTAACTCAGGTTTTTTCTTCACTGCCAAACACGTGACGAATCCGCACTTAAACTACCAATGAACAATTTCGTTGCTGCCGACGGGGATCGAACCGGGGTTGCTCGCGTACTTTGAAATTCACGGTGAGCACTTAGCACCTGGGCGACGTTGTCAGCACAGTTTGCCAAAAATTAAATGTCATGTCTTGATGTTGGTAGAGTAGCTTGACGTCCTTTCATATATTTACTTTTACTATGGAAGTCCCGCCTCTTAAACGTAGTGATTATATTCTCTTTGCCCTTGGCTACCACGGCTTGTTAAATATATTATTTATTCGATTTATATAATATATTATAGTTCATTTAATATATTTATGTAGTTTAATATACTCGTAGGTAATCTACATAAACGAAAACTCGTAAAATCTACTCACCTTATAAAACAGTCTAAACACTAAAAGCACCAACTTCTGAATGAGCTTTCGCCAATCTCACCAGCCCGCGTCGACGATGGAAAGCAGTATGAGATCACGAATTCTCCACTCATGTTCTCCTTAAAGGGGTTTTATGGCCTCACAATGCCATATCAAGGACATGCTATTATGTTATAGTGACATATTAGGCAATTTAATCGAAAGTGATGTTTACACTATATCATGCTAATGAATTCCTTTATGTAACATTTTTTAAATTTCTAGGTGTGACGAACGGATCTGTTGTAAATAACATAAAATAAAATTTGAAAAAATGCATGTGATGTGTTACATCAAAAGAAATATTGCTTTCATTTGGTTCTTTTAAAATAACTTAAATTCCAGTACGTTGTTCTTTTTTCTTAAATTATTTCGGAATATATAGACAAATTAGCGATCCGCCCGGCTTCGCACGGAAAATTTCTGGATCTCGACGACAGCGTCACCACATATGACACCCACATGTCGATAATACATATAGGAAGTTAATATTTTTTTTATAGGATAAGGGTGACAAACGAGCACACAGTCCACCTGGTGGTAAGTGGTTGCTGCGGCCCATAGACATGACATCTATCCTCGATTACGAATCTCGTTTCGAGCAAAAAGGGTCTCCGTTTCTCTACACTCACCATACTCACAGCAGCGTTAAGCTGCTACTTTACGCTGGTACTCTGTGAGCGCGTGGTCCTTCCCCGGTGGAGCCGACCCATTTGTGCTACAACTATACCTACTACTAATATAGCTGCAGCATGGCTCTACCACGTAAAATAAATATATATTCTTATACACCGTTACTACACAGAGTACGAGTAAGTTATAGTTAACTATTATTCATTCTGTGTTTATAGTTATAAACTGAGGAGTAAATACATCCCAATAAACGTACCAATGAGGGCATCAACGAATTTTTCTTCCACGAGGGCGGCGTCGCACTTAGGAATGAGGTGTAATATTTAAGAGATTTCATAGCGGAGAAAGTTTTTTTTTCCAAAAATGTAAGGTTTAATGTTTCTGTCTGAAATATTAGTAATATTTTAAATTATAAAAAAATAAACAAACTAAGGAAATACACAAAAGTAAAAAAAAAATAAGAAAAGAAGAGTTAAAAATGTGCAAAAAATTAAAGAGCAAACCACTGAGGCATTGTTTTGTTTGTATACGTACTCTAGAAACCGATAAACTTTCATCAATGACGGCATCCACGACTTTTTACGCCACCAGGGCGGCGCCACTTAAAAAGAGGTGTAATATTTGACAGATTTTATAGCGGTGAAGTTAATTTGTTCGAAAAATATATTGGTTAAAGTTTCTTTCTGTACTGTATTTAATAAGACTGCCAACCGTTTCACGCGTCATGTAAACGATCTGTAAATATTCTTTACTCCACAAATAATTTTAAACAAATTAGATTTGAACTTTATATAATTAAACAACAATAAATTACACTTGTAGCATTCCCTGGTGAAGGCCTATATTCAGCTGTGATTTGCTGTGATGAAATTAAAAACAATTTGTGAACGCGCCTTTAAAATTTTAATAGCAATATAACTCATAAAAGTGGAAATGCAAATCTAATAAAATTTTACTTATAATAAAAAGAAAACGAAACGATTATTTTTTCTTGTTTATAGGAATATCGTATGATTCATTTATTTTTATTCGTCTGATATATTTTAAATATTATAAATTTAAAAAATAAATATATTATTAAAATTTTTAGACAATCGAATAAAATATTGTGTATAATGTACTACAGCCGCGTACATCATCTTTATATATAAAAATTACGTGTCACGTTGTTTGTCCGCGATGAACTCCTAAACTCCTAAACTGATTGCAAAGAAATTTTGAACATTGTGTGCAGTTTCGTTCAACTTGAGGGATAGTTTTTATCCCCATAAGTGACTCTCAATATTTTTTATTATGATATTAAGGATTTTTATAGGACACAGGGTCGTCGGAGAGGGCAGAACAACGTCTGCCTGGACAGCTAGTAATGATATAAAATATAATTTTGAAATTTATTAAATATTATTAAATAATCATTTAAAAAATTATCGGACGAATAATTATTTTTTAATCATTCGATTGTCGTATGATTAAGAATAGCCTTAATAAAAAGTAAAAGCCGAATTCAAAGGAATCTAAAAAAATCCATCTAATAACTTTAGACCCAGTCCAGTCTTTATAGACTTCTAAGTTATCTTGTTAACGATAACTACGGGAACTTAGGTAATTCGAATAATCGGAAGATTTTTCAGCTATATTTGTGCCTTGTAATCCTGTACTTATGTGAGGTTCAATAAAGATAAAATAAATAAATATTATGATAGCAAAACGAATAGGTTGGCTCGACTGGTATAGGACCACGCTAAATAAATAGCATAAATAGCTAAATAACAGCTTGGTGCTGCTTTGTTCCGTATGGTGAGTGTAGAGAACCGGAGACCCTTTTTACTGGAAACGAGGCATTCCACCTTGGTCCTCGGGGATGGCAACGCATCTGCAATTTTAATCTTTATCGATGATAAATGTAGATGTCAATAGGCCTTAGAAATCCAGTAACCATTAGGAGAATTGTGTAATCTTTGTTACTCATATTATATATTATATAAAAAAGATATGAACTAGGTACGAGAACAATATATTAAACACACACACAGACAGCAGTTATGAGAGAAACTCTGTTAGTCTACTGCTGAACATAGACCTTTACTTTTTATAGAATAAGGGTGACAAACGAGCACACAGTCCACCTGATGGTAAGCGGTTGCTGTGGCCCATAGACATCTACATCTATCCTCTATTACGAACCAAAATACAGATGCGTTGTCACCCGTGAGGACTAAGATGGAATGCCTCGTTTGCAGTATAAAAGATCTCCGGTTCTCTACACTCACCATACGAAACACAGCAGTGTCAAGCTGCCAATTTACGCTGGTATTCTGTACCAATATACTACCAATATAGCTGCAGCATGGCTCTACCACGTATAAAGAGGTAAGACTCTTTTTCTACCTATGCATCGTTCTGGGTAGGTATCACCTTTATACCTATTTCTGCTGCCAACAGCAGTGCTTGAGCTGCAGTTTTACGGTCTAAAGGGTACAAGGAGCACAAGGTAGAGCAATGCTGCAGCTATTTTATGGTTGTAACATGGATGGATCGGCTTGACTTAGGAAGGCCCACGCTCTCACAGAATACCAGAACAATATGGCAGTTTAATGCTGCTGTTTTTCGTATTCTGAGTATAGAGAACCGGAGATTCCTTTTAGTGGGATCGAGACATTCCATCTTAGTCTTTAGGGATGACAACGCATTTGCATTTTGATTCTTAATCGACGATAAATGTAGATGTCTATGGTTCACAGCATCTACTAACTATCAGGTGGACTGTGTGCTCGTTTGCCACCCTTGTTCTCTCCAAAAAAGTTAACCCTGTATATTTTCAATCAACTTCAAAACGGAGGAGGTACTCAATTCGACTTTGTTTTATTATATGTGTCATAACTTTTTTCTCGGTGAACCGATTTCGACAATTCTTTTTTTTATTTGAAAGCTGATGCTTCTCATATGATCCCATATGAATTTGATCTAGATCTAACCAATAGTTTTTGAGTTATTCTTATTAATTTATAGTGAAGTTGGTTGTGCAAATTTATTCTATAATAATTATTCTCATACAAGTCAAAGATAGAAAACAATAAATAGTATATATTGTAACTACTGTAGGATGTCTTTTAAAATAAATAAATAAATAACAAAATTGGTTAATTTTTGTTCGCTAGTTACGAAAACCTTGTACATTATTTAAAGTAAAGATGTTAAGCATTAATTTGCTTATATCCGCTCGATAAAATAAAATAATGTGTCTTACCTAGTTTGAAGAGCACCTCCCGCCCTCCCTCGGTTGCGCGCATCATCCCCGTAACCAATACTCCCTAGTGATTTAGCGGTCAGCCACCGCAAAGTCTTCATCACCTGAGGATGCCTCACTGAGAATCAAAACACGTGTCGTATTGTCGACGATGGCGAGTCTTTCCTAGTGTAGTGGTGTTGAGAGTAGAGGTGCTGGGATTAGTGGTAACGGAGATAACTTGGATTAGTCATGTGATCTTCAAACTAGGATCCAATTTTACGGACGAACATCGGGAATTAAAAACGTAAAATTAAATGCGATAAAATCCATAAAATTAATTTAATTTAACGACACATCATTTTATTTTACGATGCGGATCTTAGCTAGTCTTTAATAAACATAAAAAATTAATCTTTAACTTAACGGTTTTCCGCAAAGTTACGCATGATTCTATTAATCATTTTTAAACGATGTAAATTAAT